CCCCTAAATGTTATAATTAGGCCGGAATTAGATCGTTAAACTTTTAGGATCTTTTGGTAATTATTTGTATATGTAATATATTGGTGAATTATTTACAGAGGTGCCTTTCGAACAGAAACAATTCGAACGTGATCAGTTGTGAGTCGTTTTGGTGGCTAGCATATTTCTTTGTCAGGGACAGGAAGCCTGCGGCTTCGACTTGTATCAAGGTCCCCCAAAGGTCGAGCTACTGACCCCTAACCACCAGGATGGAACCACACAACAATTGTCTAATTCCCAGATATCTATTTACTACTAGGTGAACAGGTAAATTAGGTGAAATGAAGCGTGCCCAACCATGTCTGTCCCCGGGCTTGTGAGTTGATAACGGGCATTTGACCAATATTCTGACGATGGGCTGGAATACTCTTGACCTTAATGACCTCTCTGAACCCGGGTGAACTCGTTGAATGACCACCACCATGGTCCAAGGTTTCGGCCTGAATGAACGCACACCATGCGTGAACGGCCCACTGTTTGAAGATGGATGAACTCTGCTTTAAAGCTCTGGTCCACCACCACCACCGACCAGGGGCCAGATTCACGAAGCAGTTACGCATGCACTTACGAACCTATACATCTTTTCTCAATCTTTGGCTGCTTTGTTTACAATTATTAAACAGTTAATGAGCTCGGAAGCACCAGGAGGCTGTTTATAACAATAACAACCGTTGATTGGGAAGTTTTCATGCTTGTAAACTGTTTAATAAATGTAACCAAAGTCGTCAAAGATTGAGGAAAGATGTACACGTTCGTAAGTACCTGCGTAACGGCTTCATGAATCTGGCCCCAGAACCTGAAGCTGGACACCAGAATCTAGAGATAGTCTCCAAAGTCAAAGAGAGCATTTACCATAGGGTTTATTTAAAAGGTATGATCTCACTGTTGATATTATGGCATTGTACAAGCCTAAGTCTAGATGAGGCTGTTTTGGGTATAATGATATCGTCGGAAATGAGGTATATATCTATCAGCACTTTATCGAGATATGCTCGGTCAAGCAATTCAATTCAATTTCTTTATTATGCACCCCATACTCATCCCGTGGGTGGTGGTGGAAAGGGTTACATTTTTTTTTTATTAAGATATGAGGTTACAGAGGCACATAATGGGTTCAGGAACTGAACACCAGAGTTCGTTTAGCTAAGCAAGTGGCAGTCTTGTGAAGCTAGTTACACAATTGTTAATGTTACATGTACATACACACATATATATACCAGTATATTTTGGTAGCGGTCTTTCTTGTAAACATATGTTGTTAAATATGACCGAAAAAGTAAGATTAATAATTCTAACACGAATTTTCTTCATTTCTTGTTTCTTTTTACTGTCGATGGTAATTGAAAAATCAATTCTCCAAAATTCATTTTTATTTCTAGTCTGACGCGACGCTTGAACGCGTTTCGTAATAACTTATTACATTTTCAAAGACTTTAGTTTACACACACACAACTGTAACCTGAAAGCACTAAACAGAGTTTTACTTATGCTAAACACTTAAACAGCTTGTCTTATATACTTGCATTTGGGTGAGGTGATATGTTGCAACAGTTTTGAATGTGGTGAACAAACTTTTGACCAACACAAGACAGAACACGGAACATTGGGTATTAATTGGATAAATGAGAGGGGAAGAATGGAAGTAACTGCAAAGGGCCTATTGGCCCATACTTCCTCTTGATGCTTCTATATTGGTGCGGAGTCTTGAAGTGGGTAGAATATAGTTGTGCATTAATTGGCTGTTGATTGCTGGTATTGACTTCTTGATGTGTAGTGCCTCGCCGCCTGCTATCGCTGTATCTATCGATGATTTCAGTGTTGTTATTAGAAAAGTTAAAAGTTTGAATTAATCAATTTAGAGGTTATTTGTAACAAATCATCACTAAACAATGGCTAAATGCTCGTTAATCAAGACGCAAAACTCTGTTTATGAATGAAAAACACTTTACATATAACTGACAATTTGCAGCCTAACTGCAGCCCGCCTTTGGGCCGGGCTGCATCAGGCTGCGGCCTAGCCTAAGACGTAGTCATCAATTATACGTACCGAATATTCAAACTTGTGTTTTTTTAAGTAATAACGTATTATATATTTCATAACGTATTTCATACAAAAATAAGGTAGGGGGCGTTGGCGGCTGGGTTTAAGAATATTTGTTCTTTGTTCATAAAGACGGACTGATTTACAGTACGCTAGTGAAGCATTTTTATAACTGGACCTCAGACACACGAAGTGAATTGCACACTTGAATTACAGAAGTGAAGTTAGGAAGTGATGTGGTGGAGGCTGACTCCATACACAGTTTCAAGTGTAGATATGATAGAGCCCAATAGGCTCAGGAATCTGTACACCTGTTGATTGACGGTTGAAAGGCGGGACCAAAGAGCCAGAGCTCAACCCCCGCAAACACAACTAGGTGAGTACAACTAGGTGACTAGGTGAGTACCCTTAACTAGAATTGCTTCGAAAGTAGACAGCTGTAGATTATGTCTATGTACAACTAATTCATAAACCTTTGATAGGAACCTGTGTATTTCCTGGAGGGACTCTGAGTCACGCCTCCGCCCAGAGTCTCAATCGTTGCCCCATGAGTCTTGTCTAAAATTCCCACCCACCCCCTATCATGGGCCAGGCCCACTCGGAAGAGTATGAGAGGTAATCTATCAAATTCCCCGTGAGTGTGTGCGGGGTTTGGCTTGCCCGTTGAGTAAGCTGGGTGGGGGATGGGGCGGGCGTCACTCAACTACGGAGTTGGTGGTTCACTAGGAACAAGTTTTATGGTAGCGTTGACAGACTTCTGGGAAGAAGTGGACGGTCGGCTACTTTAAGTGCGACTGGATTGGATGGTGACAACCGGAAGTGAGGATGTTTATTGTATGTAATTTCTAACAGGAAAAGTTGAAGGTAACGTAGGGGTGGGAATGTGTTGATGAGAAGTCTCCGTGGTGTAGTGGTAAGACACTCGCCTGGCGTTCCACGAGCGCTATGTCATGGGTTCGTATCCTGGCCGGGGAGGATTTACTGGGCGCAATTCCTTAACTGTAGCCTCTGTTTAACGCAACAGTAAAATGTGTACTTGGATGTAAAAACGATTCTTCGCGGCGGGGATCGTATTCCAGGGACCTGCCCGAAACGCTACGCGTACTAGTGGCTCTACAAGAATGCAACAACTCTTGTATATATCTCAAAAAACAAAAAACAAAAAACAAAAAAAAAAAAAGGGAACATTTCGTATTTGGAGAAACGTATTTACAGAATAGGACAGTGAGGGGTTGGGGAGAGATATGTGTATTTGAATATGTACCTAGAACTACTTGCGCAATAGAAAACTGGGCTTCATGGTACTATGTAGAAACCTATTGCATAATGATAGGTCACAACGGGCTTGTCCAGAGAAGGTTTATAATAATTTCCTCTACAAGAATCCTTACTTGCTCACACTTACTAAACATTTCCTCCGGAGACGCAATTGATTGAGCAAGTTCAGGTCAAGATGATTCAGTAATCTTTACTGGGAAAGTGCTCGGGTTACTCCCGTGCTTTACTACACCTGCAAGCTTTACCATATTAAGCGTCTAATCAACAGGACCAGACCACACACCAGTAGATAAAGCAACGACGACGTTTCGGTCCATCCTGGACCATTATCAACTCGTATGTGATTAAATCATCATATCTTCAGCCTCGTTATTGTAACTCATCGACCGCATAAGGACCACTATCTTATATATCGAGACATCTACTTTGTGATAAATGATAACATGCATATATAACAAATGAATGGTTACCAGCTTTGAGGATAATTAAGGACTGTAAGGACTGACTGATAATTAAGGACCTTGTTGGTCCCTTGACACACCTGGAGCTGAACAAATCCACAAGGGCCGTGACGAGGATTCGAACCTACGTCCGAGATCATCCCAAACGCTGTCTATTATATATATATATATATATATATATATATATATATATATATATATATATATATATATATATATATATATATATATATATGTCGTACCTAGTAGCCAGAACGCACTTGTCAGCCTACTATGCAAGGCCCGATTTGCCTAATAAGCCAAGTTTTCATGAATTAATTCTTTTTCGACTACCTAACCTACCTAACCTAACCTAACCTAACATTTTCGGCTACCTAACCTAACCTAACCTATAAAGATAGGTTAGGTTAGGTTAGGTAGGGTTGGTTAGGTTCGGTCATATATCTACGTTAATTTTAACTCCAATAAAAAAAATTGACCTCATACATAATGAAATGGGTAGCTTTATCATTTCATAAGAAAAAATTTAGAGAAAATATATTAATTCAGGAAAACTTGGCTTATTAGGCAAATCGAGCCTTGCATAGTAGGCCGAGTACGACGTTCTGGCTACTAGGTACAACATATATATATATATATATATATATATATATATATATATATATATATATATATATATATATATATATATATGTCGTACCTAGTAGCCAGAACTCACTTTTTGGCTTACTATTCAAGGCCCGATTTGCCTAATAAGCCAAGTTTTCCTGAATTAATATATTTTTTCTAATTTTTTTCTTATGAAATGATAAAGCTACCCATTTCATTATGTATGAGGTCAGTTTTTTTTTATTGGAGTTAAAATTAAAGTAGATATATGACCGAACCTAACCAACCCTACCTAACCTAACCTAACCTATCTTTATAGGTTAGGTTTGGTTAGGTAGCCGAAGAAGTTAGGTTAGGTTAGGTTAGTAGGTTAGGTAGTCAAAAAACAATTAATTCATGAAAACTTGGCTTATTAGGCAAATCGGGCCTTGCATAGTAGGGTGAGAAGTACGTTCTGGCTACTAGGTACGACATATATATATATATATATTGGTCAACCCTAGAAGAAATATAGTATTTATTGTCAAGGGTAAAGTGAAAATTAGTACTGTTTCTTAAAAGACTAAAGTTCATTAGAAATTCCCCCCAGATGTGGCCCACGTGCACGTGGGAGAACCTGGTCGGTGGCGGGAGAGAACCTGGTCGGTGGTGGGGGAGAACCTGGTCGGTGGTGGGGGAGAACCTGGTCGGTGGCGGGGGAGAACCTGGTCGGTGGTGGGGGAGAACCTGGTCGGTGGCGGGGGAGAACCTGGTTGGTGGCGGGGGAGAACCTGGTCGGTGGTGGGGGAGAACCTGATCGGTGACGGGGGAGAAACTGGTCGGTGGCGGGGGAGAACCTGGTCGGTGGCGGGGGAGAACCTGGTCGGTGACGGGGGAGAAACTGGTCGGTGGTGGGGGAGAACCTGGTCGGTGGCGGGGGAGAACCTGGTCGGTGGTGGGGGAGAACCTGGTCGGTGGCGGGGGAGAACCTGGTCGGTGGCGGGGGAGAACCTGGTCGGTGGCGGGGGAGAACCTGGTCGGTGGTGGGAGAGAACCTGGTCGGTGGCGGGGGAGAACCTGGTCGGTGGCGGGGGAGTGGTCGGGGGAGAACCTGGTCGGTGGCGGGGGAGAACCTGGTCGGTGGCGGGGGAGAACCTGGTCGGTGGCGGGGAAGAACCTGGTCGGTGGCGGGGAAGAACCTGGTCGGTGGCGGGGGAGAACCTGGTCGGTGGCGGGGGAGAACCTGGTCGGTGGCGGGGGAGAACCTGGTCGGTGGCGGGGGCGGCAGACTGTGGCAGGGGCGCCACCTACAGGCACGCGGGCTGGTGGCTTACCGCACCTCCTCAATTCCGTCTGCTCCTACGCACACTTTTTTATTCTGTCGCTACGCTAGATTTTAGTCTATTCTTGGATCGTTCAGTATATTTTCATTCGTATAGTTGTTTTGTGTATTTGGCAATCATTTATATTTGAATTACTGGTACTACTAGAGTATGAACCAGTGTGTGTGTGTGCATGAAATAGCGTATGAAAGGTAGCGCGCTCTTTGATGTGTCTGCCAGCGACAGTCTTAGAAGTGTTTTATGAGCTGCCGGAACTTGTATGTATTATATACTCTGTTTACGTCCAGAGGGAGGGATGAAAAATTATGGGAGCGGAAATTAGGAGGAGGAGGAGGAGGGAAAGATCACAATAAAGAGTAGAAACAACGTAAGGTGTGGAATGTTGAGTGTAAGAGGCAATGGTGATTAATTATTTGGGTGAGAGGGAGCAAGGAAGAACATCAGAGTGCGCTCAAGGGTAAAAGATAGGTCAATATGGGGAGCAGAGTGAATCTGGGGTAAGAGGGAACTTGGAATGAAGAGGTGAACATGGAATGGGAGGTGAGCAATCAATCAATCGATTGTACAGGTAAAGGGGGAGCGGGAGATGGGGGACAGACGGTAGAATAGTCTGGGCGAAGAAGCTTCGTAGTCGTAGGGAGTAGAACTAGGGCGTAACCCCAGCAGCGGGCCCAGGATTCTTGGGTAGTTGACGTAGAATCGATTCACCGTCCAAAGTACCAAGGAGAAGGTGGGGGGGGGGGGTCCGAGCGGCAGTCAGAAGTCCTTACCTTCCTATCCTATCTGTGTTTTTTTTGTGGGGGGGGGGGGGAACGGGGAAAGGGGGGCTGTCATGGAAGGCTGACTGTACCAATTGTAGAGCTGGTGGGTTAGTGAAGACCGCTAAGTCTTGCTTTTTATTCTTTGACTGAGTCTTGCTACGGGTTGACATGGCCGTGCTGTTGTCAGAGTTTGGTGAGGTGACCTCCACGAGGAAGTCTTAGACCGTGTGGGTTCCGCATGTGTCCGGCGGCGATGGAACCCCTACTGAGATTTCCTCCTTTGAGGAGTCCGAAGTGTAGTACGTAGTCGGTCGTTTTAACTTTGGTCTCACAGCCTGAGGTTGGCTCTGGAGTGGCGGTAGAAGGTGGTTCAGTCACGTCGCTGGTGTTGGTGGTCGTGGACAGCACGTCTGCGAGAGCCTCTGCCAAATGGTGATAATGAGAGCTTTGTGGGCGGGTGTGGAAGGTTCTGCTGTTTGTGCAGCCTGGGTCGTGGGTGGTGTTGGAGTCTGAGTTGAGATGAACCTAGTGGTCGTCCTCGTGGGAGTCCCCGGTGTGGTAGGAGAGGTAGTGAGACTTGCGTCAGGGTCGATGATGAGGTCCAGACCGTTTGCTAGGTGCAGCACGTTCAGTTCCTTGACGAATTGGTGATTGTCTGATTCGGCAAGCCTCAACGCTAGTCGAATAAGACCAGGGATAACGCTTGCACGTGATGCAAGGGGGCTGCGAGGGTGCTGGTGGCGCCTTAGGTCCCCACTGTGAAGGCTGGGTCGCCTGGTGGGAGGAACCATTGTTTGGTATGACCGGGAAGTCGTCTGGTAGGTTGGTGGTAGCTGAGTTGCCGGGTTTGGTGCAGGTAGAAAGTTCTTGGCTTCGACCTGGGCCCCTTGATGTTTTTCTTGTCTGCGGGGTCAAAGGTGTGAAATTGCAGGGTGATCGCCGTTGCAGAGCAACTGAGGGTTGTTGATTTGCAGATGGAGTAAAGATGGTCCTGGGCGCAGAGGCTGCACTTCTGGATGGGGTGTTGACATTTGTTGGTAGGGTGGGAGAACTCGTAGCACTTGAGGCACTGTTGAAGTTTGAGGTTTGAAGTTTGAAGTTTCCTTCTTCACACGGTCTGATGGAATCTTGATACCGAAGCAGTAGAGACCTTGTGTTGCGGCCCGGGTCGCCGCTGTTGAAGAGGTGAAAAGTATCTTCGTGGTTGGCTCGTCGTTGGCGTTGCAGAAATCCAGTTCGAATACCCCCATGTTCAGGGTTTCGACCTCGATGTTTTTTATGAGCTCTAAAAACTGATCTTTCAGCGAGGTACTGATGCGGGAAGTTGAGGAGGAGGTGGTGGTGCTGTTGGCGAAGTGGCCAATGGAGTGTCTGGAGTTTTTCAATGTCCTCCGCTCATGAGAAGTAAGGCACAATATCCACCCCTTCCTGGCCAGTGTCGATGGATCCTTCGTCCTCGAGGATCTTCAGGACGTCGCTTTTGTCGAAAGCATGACCGTCTGGCGGGGGTTGTCTTAACTCTGAGACGTGTGTGTGACGCACTGTTACCACCTCCTCTACGGGTCGCAGTGGCACTGAATGTTACTTTGCCTCTAGGGACTTCTGTTCTGTACTTTAGTACTTCTGTCTAGGTTCCATGTTTTGTGTGAAATTTGAAGTTCTCTCGAATATGAACGGTATTTGACCATTCCTCAGAAAGCGACCAACAACAGTCGACTAACAACCAAGTTCCTAATTACTGCTAGGTGAACAGAGGCAACGGGTGCAAGGAGACGCGCCTAGCTGTCTCGCCCTGCCCAGGATGTCTTAAGAGGGTGGTTCAGGCTTGCTGGTGCTTCACCCGACAATGTTCATTACATAAGGTCTTCCGTATTCTCCAGATTATGCTCAAGAAGAGAGTGGGGGTGAACAAGGAATTGGAGTGAACCTGGAATGGGCGTGACCCTGGAGTGGGCGTGACTCTGCAGTGGGCGTGACCCTGGAGTGGGCGTGACTCTGCAGTGGGCGTGACCCTGGAGTGGGCGTGACTCTGCAGTGGGCGTGACCCTGGAGTGGGCGTGAACTTAGTGTCGGAGTAGGCCAAACTTAATAAGATAATTGGGACATAAGGTCACATTACATAATTCCATAGCAGGAAGGAAAGAGTGTGAGGGATGAGGAAGATGGAAAGACAGAATATGAGGGACGAAGGAGATGGAAGGAAAGAGTATGAGGGGTGATAGAGCCGGAGAAGTCATTCATGAGATATGAGCCGTGTTAGGGGGGGAGGGGAGCACTATGGTAGCAATTGGACGTAATAATCATTCTTGTTCGGCTGATTCCTGGACTCCAAAGAATGGGAGGGGACTAGCAAAGGAGAGGAGGAAGGGAGGGGGACCGAAGAACACAAAAGAGGGGAAGAGGGAACAAGAAAAAAGAGAAAAGAGGGAGGGGGGGGAAAGGTTCAGTTTTTAATAAGGCAATTTAGTTGCCATTTAACCAGCTGTCCTTCATTTATCGATCTCCCAATAATCAATAGCAAAATATACAGCATTAATTATTTACAATATATCTGATTGGCTGATGATTGCTAAAAATTATCGGTTGATGAATTGTAAAATGTTTTCTCCGATTGGTTGATAATAAGCTTGTGGGAATTCTGTCCAGTTTCCTTCCTGTATTTTCAACAACTCATCATTTTGTATGATTAGTCGATGATTTACAGACAGCAACTGATTAGCCCGATTTGTTAATAAAGAAACAGCTTCACTGTTGACTAAAAAAATTATGGAAGAGTGGCAGGGTTATCTTGAGATGATTTCGGGGCTTTTAGTGTCCCCGCGGCCCGGTCCTCGACCAGGCCTCCACCCCCAGGAAGCAGCCCGTGACAGCTGACTAACACCCAGGTACCTATTTTACTGCTAGGTAACAGGGACATAGAGTGAAAGAAACTCTGCCCATTGTTTCTCGCCGGCGCCTGGGATCGAACCCAGGACCACAGGATCACAAGCCCAGCGTGCTGTCCGCTCGGCCGACCGACGGGTAAGGTCAAAAGAGCAATATTTGGTTATGGATTTTGACTCTTAAGAGCGATCTCACTCCCTCTGACGTAGCCGATCCCAATGATGACGCCTCGTATCATATTTTCGATTGAGAACACCAGTGTTGCCAGCGAGGGCGTCGGCTGTGTCTGGCTGGTGGGCGAGTGATTGTTTCTTGGAAGTGTGGTAATAATTGTGAATGGAAGATAAGAATACACGTGCACACAGACACACACCCCACACACGTGCACACAGACAAACACAAGCACGCAATCCCGGTCTTCATGGCGGCCGCAGTCACAGACAACACCCAGACACACACCTGCATGTATGTGGGGCATGAAAACTCTTAGACAGCCATCACGCATGCACGCACACACACACACACACACACACACACACACACACACACACACACACACACACACACACACACACACACACACACACACACACACACACACACACACACACACACACACACACACACACACACACACACACACACACACACACACACACACACACACACACACACACACACACACACACACACACACACACACACACACACACACGTTTAGTTTCAAGTGTAGATATGATAGAGCCCAATAGGCTCAGGAATCTGTACACCTGTTGATTGACGGTTGAGAGGCGGGACCAAAGAGCCAGAGCTCAACCCCCGCAAACACAACTAGGTGAGTACACACACACACACACACACACACACACACACACACACACACACACACACACACACACACACACACACACACACACGCCTGCCAACCTGCCATGGTCATAGATTTAAACTAGCTAAACACAGATGCCGAAGAAATATAAGAAAATTCACCTTCGCAAATAGAGTGGTAGACGGTTGGAACAAGTTAAGTGAGAAGGTGGTGGAGGCCAAGACCGTCAGTAGTTTCAAAGCGTTATATGACAAAGAGTGCTGGGAAGACGGGACACCACGAGCGTAGCTCTCATCCTGTAACTACACTTAGGTAATTACACTTAGGTAATTACACACACGGCAACAAAGCTGAGGGAGGGACCTTTCCCCCCCCCCCAATACCCGTCACCTTCCTGCAACACTGCTGAGGTTGCAGCGGTGTGTGTGATGACACATTCCCGGGTATGTTCAGATGTCACAAGGCGGAAACACAGTCACATGCAACCTGGCGGGCGGGCCAGGCAAGCAGCAACTCTATACCAACAACGTGAACGGGTCAAGTCCGGAGATGTGGCGGGGGGGGGGGGGGGGGGAAATTTTACCACTTGACTGAATTAAAATTTCCGTCGTTGGTTATCTATTGCGATATAGAGAAACAGCTATACTATATCCCTAGCAGTAAAATTGTTACCTAGCAGTAAAATAGGTACCTGGGTGTTAGTCAGCTGTCACGGGCTGCTTCCTGGGGGTGGAGGCCTGGTCGAGGACCGGGCCGCGGGGACGCTAAAAAGCCCCGAAATTATCTCAAGATAACTTCAAGATAAGATCCTTTATAGTAAACTTATAGTAAACTTTCTGTAGATGACGGTTCACCAGTCAAGTTAGCTTCAGTCACTTGTACACTTGTGTTATGTCACTGAACTCCATTTATATTAGCTCTTAGTAAAACCATCTTGTGAATTAGTTATTATTTTGTTTTTCAAGATGAAGACGGATTTTTTTTTGCAGTTATCGATTCAAGCAATTTTCCCACAATAGACGTTAAGCTAATTGGCCGATAGTTTGACGCAAGTGATCTATCTCATTTCTTGAAAATTGGTACCACATTACCAACCTGCCATGACTCCGGTACTCTGACTAATGATTTACTAAATGCTAGACAGTGGCTCACGAACCTCCTCTTTGCATTCTTTTAGCACCCTGGCCTGACGGAATTGGATAAGCTTCCAATTCCTTGTTGACCAATCCACACACTAGAAAATGAAGGGTCGACGACGTTTCGGTCCGTCCTGGACCATTCTCAAGTCGATTGTGAATGGTCAGTCATCCTGGACCCTTACCGTCCTGGACCATTCTCAAGTCGATTGTGAATGGTCAGTCATCCTGGACCCTTACCGTCCTGGACCATTCTCAAGTCGACTTGAGAATGGTCCAGGACGGACCGAAACGTCGTCGTCCCTTCACCTTCTAGTGTGTG